TACTTAATAGTTTAATTCTTTGAGGTTCTATTTATAGGACATAAAATCAAACCAAATGATCATTTACATACATTAAAATAATGTCATATGATCATAGATACTACTTATTTTTATTATCATAGTTAACCAATAGTTTGTTAAGTGTGAAATATATATTAAAGTTTTTTTCTGTTCAAAACGAAACAATATCTAACAGACCATGAAGTAAATAGTGTTATACATGTCAATAAAAACTTTTCTCATTACCACTGTTACACCCTCCTTATTTCATTGTTTATTATTTTATGAGGTCATGTATTCTGTATCATTATAATGATATAAGAGATTTTTATCATTTCAAAAGTACTATAAGTATATATATATATGAAAGTCATAAAAAAACCATCTTGATCTATTAAAGAATACACGGAAAAAAGTAATGAGCAATAGTTTTATGTATGTATGCTGGAATATATCGTTGTAATAAACATATAAAATTACATGATTATACTAAATGTAATAAACTGATGTCAAAATGCTTTAAAAAGAAACATGATGTAGGCTCATATAACGGAATTCATTATATATTAATCGATGTATTTCAGTAAGGATGTGCTTTTTTTGATAAATAAAGATCCGCCCAAACTATTTTCTAATCTTCATGTCGATGTCAATAAATGGATTTAACTTACTATAAAACTAGCAAAGTTAGTGAATAACCCAAAAAAAGAACTAGAGTTAATAAATTATGGAATCAACCAAGTACCATGACAAGTAGTTAATTCTCTATTATAACATTATACTATAAAAGGGATGAAGTTATTTAATTTCAACCCAGTAAGTAAATAATAATTTACTTGGTATGCGATATGAAATTCAAAGGTTCAATCATAAGTAAATTCATAGGGTGACTACTTCTAAAGAGTATGATATTGAATCATAAAGTTTGTTTAGTGCTAGACTGTTTTTAGTAATACTTTTATCACATTTTTAAACATTGATAAAAACCACCATCAAATTTCCACTTGATTCAGTTTTGCAATGAATTTTAACTGGGATTTAAGAATTTTAAAAAAATAATTTGATGAGATTTTCTGCGAATATATCGTTAACGACTTAATATTAATTTCCATTTGTGACATGGCATCCCAGCACGGATTCGAAAATCTCGCTTGGCTTTTGCCAACTTACGTCACCTATTACGAAGGAGAGATATCCGTCTGTCAATAAAAGGACGAGTATACTGTCCAGCAGTTCTTTCTATTTTACTTTACGGCAGCGAAACATGGCCATTAAGAGTAGAAGATACTCGTAAGCTACTAGTATTTGACCACAGATGTCTTAGAAATATTGTTGGCGTCTGCTGGGATCACCGGGTAAGTAATAGTGAAGTTGGACGCAGAGTATTAGGGAATAATGGTAAATCAGTTGATGAGGTTATGAATCTTCATCGACTGAGATGGTTGGGCCACGTGTTACGTATGCCTAAACACCGATTACCACAACGAGCAATGCTAACCTGTGTTGGGGATGGGTGGAAGAAAGTTAGGGGCGGCCAAACCAAAAAGTGGCATCAATCCTTGAAGTCACTAACTTCTAGTCTGAGCCATGTTGATAGATACAGACTACTTGGTTGGGGTCCGCGTGACTGTCGTAATCAATGGTTGGAGACTCTGTGTGACTTGGCTCAGAATCCATCACAATGGCGTCGGTCTATATACTCTCTGTCTTCCCTTAAACTAAGAAATTAAAGTGATTTCATATCTTTCTTTCTACGAACTAATTCTTTCTTCCTGTACTATATTCTCATATGCAATCTTTCTTTTTATATTACCACCTCTGAATCAACTGCTTTTATGAATCTGGTGTTCATCTTGTTGTGTTAATGAGGTATGGCGACTTGGACCGATGCATATATGTGCGTGGTCCTACGTTGTAGCTGACTGACTGACTGACATGACATTAATAATACGTTATGATTAAAGGATGTCATATTTCATTTTCATAATGAAAAACGTCTTGAATTATGATTTTCACATTAATATCAGGTAACAGATATGATTAGGTGTTTACGAAGTATCATCGGACTAGATTTTCACTAAAAACATATAAATTATTAATGAATGCAATTGTTATTCGAAAATACCTTATGTCTCAGTGAGTTGCAAGTAATATCAAATGTTAATACATAGCTTCTGACGAAAAGAATCGTTATTTAGAAAGAAACATAGAACTATTTACATACACTTTAAATCAATCTACAATCTCACTGGGAAAAGTGTATGGCTTGTACTAATTAGATCGATAGAAAAATAAGTCTTTCGGTAGATTGTTAAAACCATAAAACACTTGAAATCAACAATTGGAGTAGGAAAATTTTCACTGTATTGGACAGCAACCTTAACTACTGATCTCTAATTTATCCACTTTAAATTAATAGCAATCAGTAATTGTGTGCTTCTTCTATTACATAACAATCCAAGTCACCTTCAACTTCACTATATATCTAGTTGAAACAAGTCATTAGAATGAATAACCGCCTACAGTAATTGCTTAATTGTTATATTCTGATCATGGTATAATTATATCATTAGTTTTGTTTTCACCCGAAATCACTTTGTTAAAAAACAATTGTAACTGCGCTCTTATAAACTAAAAGAATGGTTTCATTAGTCCAATTCTGATAATCATTTTTTTATTGGATTATGTCCATTGTAATTAAGGAAGTCATTGGTTTCATTGATACATTTATCTATATATTTTGAAAATTCCCTTCATAATGATATCATATCAGTAATTTTGAACCCAATCAAAACATACTGTTTACTAAATTCTTGTAAAGTTCGTTTAGATTTTATAACATTTCAAATATGTTTCATCTAATGTGTTGAATGATAATGACTAGGATGCAATATTAAAATTTAAATTAGTAATCACCTGCGGTGATGACATAATATAAATTAATTTCATACAATCGTATGTAACAAAAAAAACAAAAACGGAATGTTATCAAGTTGACAATTACATAAAATTATCAGAAGGGGTTTGTGGAGATTTTAGAAATTTCACAGATTGAAATCATGAGTCAATTGAAGCTAGACCACCATGGAAAACCTGGGAGCGTTGGACGGCTGTTCCGTCCTATTATGGGACTCCTCAGCAGTGCACACCCACGATCTCGCGAGATTCGAGCCCAGAACCTATCAGTCTCGCGCCAAGCGCTTAGCCAACTACACCACTGAGCTGGCATCCAATGGTGTTAATGCTAACTTCAACTAATCCACGAAGTTGCGACACCGTATACCATTGTCTTCAGTGAGCTGATATCTCACAACAGACCTGGTTGAACTCCACTGGTAACGGCTTTTCACTAGAACTCCAGTCACTGGTGAGCAGATGATTATTATCAGAAGGGCGCGAGACTGATAGGTTCTGGGTCCGAATCTCGCGGGGTGCGGGATCATGGATGCGCACTGTTGAAGAGTCCCATACTAGGACGAAACGGCCGTTTAGTGCTTCGAGGCTTTCCATAGTGGTCTAGCTTCAATTGACTCATGATTTCAATCTGTGAAATTATATATAATTAACAAATGGATATATCTGGAAACACTGTTAAATACACTGGAGTATAGTATAGAAATAATACATTCAACAGTAACCAGAACTAATATTGAATACATTCTTTAAAATATTTTGAACGTAACTGATTACTTAAAAGATGCAATTTATAGTGATGCTTACCCTACTGTCATACTAAATCCGTTTTACCTGATAGGAATTGACGTGAATGAATTTATTATTTCTTTCGTACATTTTTGATATATTAAATCTGATTATACATAATATATATTACTTACTCACGCCTGTTACTCCTCGTGAAGGAGCATAGGCCGCTCACCAGCATTCTCCATCCAACATAATATATATTCATAACTTTTTATTTTAATCATACTATGTACTGATTTCCCTAACAAATTATTATGACATAATAATAATGATAATAAACATAAGATATAATAAGCTCTATTCACAATCTTTGTTCATTCTATTCATGTGAGCTGAAAGAACCTGAAATAGTACAGTGTATTGTAACAGTTTGCATAACAATTGTGTGTTAGTTCAATACATTCTGTTTTGGGAGTTTAATTACGTGACTTATTTTCTGAGTTTCAAAATATGCATAAAGCAAAGATGTAGTCGGTTTATATAGTACAAACTATATTCGTTAATTTTCATATGTCTGCATAAACCGTACAGAAATATGACAGTTTTAAATGACTTTTACTGAAGATTTATGATGGAAACGTGTCCTTCACTTACATAAATTATTATTACTACAGTTTTTATGCTTCCTCGAACAAAATTAAAAAAAATTTATTGTATAATAATACATGACAGTCATTATGCTTAATATGGTGATTCTAAGGACCTCAATATTATGTTATTTGACGAAGAAATTTTAGTCCATGATACACCAGTACACCAAACACCAAGATCCAAAGGACGAATTATAGATAAAAATTATTAACCACTGTTAGAGTCAGAGTACAATTAGGATCACCTAAAGTTTATGAGGTGATAGCTGACATAACAGTTTATTTCTTTATAAAAATGTTCAATGTGGAAAATTGTCATGGACAACTAGTTTAAAACTTTTTAATAAAAGGAGTGAATATATGAGCTCCTTATTATTGACAGTTTGTTAGTTTCCACATGCTGGCAGTAAACAATTAACTATTTCAGAGACCAGCAATACTGTAATAAATCCTTAATTTCTTTCTATTGCTTTCAAAAGAGAGATAAACGAATTTCTTTTCTTTCGGGATATTATTTCCAGGCTGTGCAAATACTTTTACCTAACTAGACTTCATCTGGTCATGGTTATGCTTAGTATTTTGATTTGAGCATCATATAAGCGTTCATAAACACAACTCTCACTACTTGCTACAATAAATTTTTACTATATACATAAAAACAATCAAATATATTTCCACATCTACATTATACATAAAAACAAATACCTTGTAGATTTAAATTGATATTTGCATTACTTTCTCCAGCTGAATTTTTTGCATGAATTTTATACATACCACCATCTTCTGGTTTTGGTGATAAAATGTGTATTTCAATAATATAAACATCATCAGGTTGCTCTGAAACTTCCCATGCACGTTTCCCAGAGATTTCGTTTATTTCTTGATCATTTAAATACCATGTCAGTGTTGCAGCCGGTTTTGCTTCTAATCTGCATGATAAGATAACTTCACCTTTAGACTTATCCATACGAATCACTGGTTTCTCAAGAAATTTCGGAGCTTTAGTTGGTGTACTATAGTAAATAACACAAAATGAAAATAATTACAAAACATGGGAAAAATCACATTTTAGTGTACACAAAAGACGTCTACTTACTTCCTGAGCGCATAAGTTTAGTTTAGCTTTAGGCTATGAAAAAACGGGAGCTCACATACAACACGCCAGATCAGTAGTTTAGTTATTAATGAAATATTTGGCTTCAGGCAGTTAACATGTTTAAATGAAGTTCTATTTAATATTCAAATCACTTCTAATATTTTACATTTCTGTATTACTTGACACTAACTTTAATTTTATTTTAAGTGAGGAACATATGGTTAATATGGTTTGTGATATTATAATCAAGATAAATGTGCTGTTATATTCTGTGCTCTCTCGGTCTTGTGCAATAATTCACAGCTGTACAGAATACAATCATTCTAAAAACTATGTTTTTTATACTTGTGACTGCTTTCAATTTATACATAATATACATTCGAAGTTTCGAATGAGACATGTTTTGAATTTATCTAAAACGCAAATTATCTCTTTTTTTACTAAACGAAAGCCTCGATAACCATCTTTCATGATAAATTGAAGAAATTTACAGATCATGATGAGTTTCTCTATACAGATATCCTAGTGAGCTAAGGCTTGTGGCAGAAGTGATCTGCTCGTTTTTTTTAAGTGGAAGAATATATGTTTAACAAGTGATTTAGAATTCAGTGTTCACAAGAAATCTAGCTCTTCTATTACTAGAAACATCTCATCTTCATGGTTTGTTTAGCTTATTTATAACTAAACAGTAAATGTAAGAAGCTTAGGCGATGCTTTGTGCTGCTGTAGTGTCAGTTATTATGTTAAACCAACATACTTTATTCTAGTTTTCAGACAGCCCAATCTATTCATTCTACTTGAGTCATATTTTGACCTTGTTAATTACTCGCTTATCAGTCTTGATTGTTTTTTTATATCAGCGTATATGTGTGTACACTTCATATCCCATGTCTCATCACATGTCTGTAGTTTACTTTGCCTATAAATATTGAGTAACGCCTGGTTAAAAATGAGTTGGCTTACCAGCCATCTTCACTACGCGGCATTTTTCTTTGTTCTATTACATTCACTTTACACACAAATATATGTATTCAAAGGCCATTCTCGTTAATTGACTTATCTAAATTTCCGTTATTGACTAACGTGATTTAAGTCGATGATTGTATACGAGGATAGGTGATAACAAACATTCATACGATCTAAATGGAGTCAGATCCACGGGCCACTAAACAGCTTCACATTATACTACCAAAGAATTAAAGAATACATTGTCCGTTTTCAAATACTTCTAGATGAACTACATTTACTTAATGATCTTAGGTGAAAAATATGTTCTGTGATTAGATAGAATAATCTTTTGGAATTCGAATCAAAATGAATTAATGATTTCTTGAATAGATCGATCTAAGTGAAGAGGGGATTAGAAATTCAATACACTTCCATTGTGAAGAAGTAAATATTAAAAAAGATTTTGAAAAACGCAATATCAAAAAATTGGAAGATGTATTATAAATTAGACAACTATATAAAAGTTAATCAAGATAATGAACACCACTCCAAACGATTCTTCTTTTAAAGTAATCTACATTGTCAAAGGAATTGGATCGAAGGGGTGTCGAATCAGTATTTTATGCACTGTTGAGGCATTGGCAATTCACGAACTCAAGTCCGAACTTTGCATGCAGAAACGATTTGTCCAACTTCTCATCCTTCCTTGGCCCTAATTTCCTTAACGGGTATGTCTCCGGGTTTCTTTCTGCACTTCTATTTGACTAATAATGAACTAGGTCTAAAAAAGTATTGATTTATGTATATTATCGAATATTTATTAGTGAAGTAAATATCTTAAACACTCTTTGGAATTGTTACATAATATTTCAAGTATAATTTCCATGCTAACATTTCCTTACCTTACAGTTTAAAACATTCTCTGAAAGTATGGTGAGTTAGTCTATATACAGTATTTCAATGTTGACATAGTGGTAGTTCGTGAATTCATTTGCTCCTCTGTAATGTTTCATAATTAGAAAAAACTGGTTGTTTACAGTAAGCTGAATATGTATTCATTTATTCCTTAATTTGAGATAAACTTAGGCCAAATTAACTTAAAATAACAGATCATATTTTAACAAACATTTGCCGTGAGAATGATAGTTCTTATAATTTACACATTATTACTTTGTTTGACTTCAGTTTAAATGAATATAGGTAACTTTAATGGGTATGAACTATAAAACATTGAACAATGAAGATCTTTTATGAACGGGTTCTACTCAGTATCAAAATCCACATCAGTAAAAACATGTCTGATTCAAAGTTTTACATCATCTTGATAACAGTCATTTCTCAAACGTTTCTTAGATAACAAATACATTATTTAGTTTTATGATGTTCATTCTTTCTATGATAATTAGATATTATGATAAAACTAGCGATAATATATTGTAGATACACTATTCATTGTTAAAAGCCAATAAATTATAAGAAACTGTTCAAGTTAAAATAGATTGTTTATAGATGTGTGAAAACTTACGATTTAGCTGATCCAATATTCAAATTTATTGTGGCTGTTGAATCACCAAGTTTATTTTTGGCTGTTACCAAGTATTCTCCACCATCATCAGCTGTTACTTGATTAATTTCTAATGTTAATGTATGTTGTCTACCAAGTGTACGACAATTAGTTTTGTAACGTGAAGAATTTTTTATTTCATTCCCAGCTTTTGTCCAAAGAATTTCTGGCGCTGGATCTGCTTCAGCTACAACTTCAAATATGACATTTTTGCCAGATTGTTTAATTTTTGGTTTGTCTATAAATTTTGGTTGAATTCCTAGATGAATGAACAAACAAATCAGATTTAACTTTTACTCTTTTTTTGACACGTTAAAATAAACTGTACATAGCTAATTGAATTTAGCGAATGATTTTAAGTGATTAGTGATTTTATTGATTGAAATGTAATTCAAAAGTTTACCATCAAACATGTGTATGAGATCATCTTAACACTTCCGACGAAATAAACTTCCAATTGTAGGGATATCTTTTGAACTATAGAATTACATCATTGTCTGATATATGATGTTAATTATTGTTTACAAATAAGCAGTGATTTATCGATGTAGTAAATATACTTTAACTTTATTTAGTACAAAAGAAGGAGATTCTCTATTTCTCACACATAGATTTTAACGTCTTTATGTTTCAAAATGGATATGGGTAATCATTTATATATTGGTCTTAAGGTGATAAAGATAAAAGCCTACGATTGTTAAATGCTTTATTTTATTCATTAACAGAACAAATTTTCAGGTGGAGATATGTAATATAATTGACTTATAAAGCATATGACGTATATGAATTCGACTATTTCTCTGACCTAAGACGGAGTAATACTCATCTTCTCATAGTATCGTGGATCGATTGAGGTTAAACATCAACACTGTTTAATGTCAACTCAGTGGTCTAGAGGGTAAGAATCTGCAAAAGTCCGAAAGTTTTGAGTTTTATTCGCGTATGCAAGGTGATGGATGCTAACTGCTGAGGAGCCCCAAACTAGGATAAAATGGCTTTCCAGTTCTTCCAGGTTTAAAATGGTTGTTTATTTTAGATTAGTTCAATGAAATAAGGTTTTGTAGTATGAAAAGGCTTAATAGATATGAACTGATCAAATATAATGATGTAAATGTCAGATTGAAAAATAAATGGATAGCCCAACTAACTATAGTGTTGATCACATTATTAAACTGTTAACTGCTTTTAATTAGTTTACATAAATAATAAAATGAAATAACAGTACATTGACCTTTTGGCCACTAATATTAAATTACCTATTCAGGTAGTTTCAATACGTCTACCATTACCATGAGTCAGATTATCTAACGTTCAATATTACGTCCTTTCAAGTGGTTCTCAATCACCAATATTTTTTCCGTTTTCAGGCTTATTCATGCATTTTCACAGATTGAACTCATGAGTCAGTTGAAGCTAGACCACCATTGAAAACCTGGAAGCACTGGACGGCCGTTTCGTCCTAGTATGGGACTCCTCAGCAGTGCGCACCCACGACCCCGCACCACCCGGGGCTCGAACCCAGGACCTACTGGCTTCGCGCGCGAGCACTTAACCATTAGACCACTGAGCCGGCATCCAACGGTGTTAATGTCTAACTTCAACCAATCCACGAAGTTGCGCTACCGTACACCATTGTCTTCAGTGAGTTCCTATCTCACAACAGACCTGGTTGAACTCCACTGGTAACGACTTCTCACTAGAACTCCAGAAGTGTCTCCTGAAGTCAGTCACTAGTGAGCAGGTGATTGTTATTATCGGAATGTGTTTTGCATTTATTTGTTTTGTATGTGAAATGTCAAGTTAATCCTGTTCTTTGTGCCGTAATCTTTACATCGATATGTAAATGCGTTACTATCAAAATCGACATTCATCATTCATGTTATTTTATGGTATCTTCTTGAAACCTGTTATTGAAGTGTACAAATCTCAGAGCTCTGTTTAATGAAAAAGGTAAGTGGGTTCTAAATGTTTACACTCGTAACATTTCCCACCACTAATCATTTTGAAAATAAACTTGGTACCGTTCACAAAATCTTTTTTTTACTTTTACAGATTTGTTATTTATCTAGATTTATAAGTTACTTGGATTTAATATTATGACTCCTAAATTAAGGTAAATAATTAATCTCAATATTCATCCAAACTAGTCACTCCATTTATATTTTCCTTTTTTTATATTCCGATTCATGACTAGAAAAAAAAGTACAAAATCTTTACAAAATCATAGCGATTACATGTATCATATGACAAAATAGTTGTAAGGAGGTAGTTTAAACTAAAATCCTGTGCTCTTGAAATCACTTATCTATTATTCATTGTTAAAAGGATTATTTTGCAAATTTTGTTAGGCTTAATGAAAATTTATTTTGTTTTACAAATATATTTATTATCAGAAGAGGGTTTTGTGAAGATTTTAGTAATTTAATAGTTTGCGCGCAATACCGATAGATCCTGGGTTCGAATTCCGCGAGCGGGATTGTGGATGCGTACTACTGAGGAGTCCCATACTAAAACAAGACGACTATCCAGTGCTTCCAGGTCTTCTATGACGGTCTAATTTTAATTGACTTATGAATTCAACTATTAAGTATATATTTATGTCATGTACTTAAGGTAAAGGATGAAATTATCTAAAAAAACGTTTTTTAGGATGAGAATTCCATAGTGGAGAGTTTGTACAGTATTAAATAAAACTATTATTTCTGTTATTACTGTAAACGAAGTAATGAGTTATTTACTATTAAATGCAATAATTATTGAGTGGTTTATAGCAGCTTAAGATCATTAACATCAAAATTCATGCGTATCTAATGAGAGAATAACAGATAACAGAATTTTTTAAAATCTAATTGTTAGCTAAGATGATTAAAAGTGCAGTTGAATTTTTGCAGGTTTTTTAAAAATTTCGCTAGTTCATTAAATAAACGGTTATTGACATTATGAATCAAGAGTAAATCGTATATATAGACTATGCATATGTAAAAGAAAACAGTTTTAAAGTCTAAGAACTAAGAAAAATAGTAAAAATGGACAACGTCTGAACTTAATTGAGTTGACAAATTCTGAAGCTATCTTTAATTTGTTCAATTGATTGAACTTGTGGTGTGTGCTACCGATGTCAACAGATATTAGTAGTATAAATCATCCATCGAAAGTTAACTGCTTGGCGGCACAAGGTTAAGAATATCGAAGAAAAGAGAACGAGAACAGTGAATGATTGGTGTGGAAACAGAAGAACAATGAAGTTTAAGACGATTGATTGACATTTTGCAAATGAAGTATTTACTGTATGATTCTGAGATTTTATTAAGACGTTCTGTAATTTTGTATTAAAATACATTCGATTGTTCTTACTTGTGTTCTCGTTCACTACAAACCTACTGGTGACTCATAGAATCAAAATAAGTGTTTAATTCTAAGTTAGAATGGGGTAAACGATTGATTGTAAGCTTTCATAATGTTATTGTTGACACTTAGTAGGGAAAAGAAGATATCTTATTGATATCTTCTTTTAAACTGGTTTTGAAAATTTAACACAAGGTTAACCATAAATTTTACTTGCAGGAACGTGAAAACTTCAAAGTAAAGAATTCATAATTCAAGACTTCTTTCTTAACAATGTATTATTCACTATGTTACTTAAGTTTCTTTATTATACCTAGATAATGTAGAATAGGAATAGTAATCGTAGTTAAGTGCCAACTTGAAAATCTCAATGTTTTTTCAACAAACGGACAGTTTTGAACAAATTCATAACGAATCAAATGCGAATAAAGTAGACAATATATTGGTCACCGAGAAATGACCAATGTCATGGTCTCCTGGTCCTTTAAATATTGATGGAATTCTATCGACTGATTTGTAGTATAATCATCAGTTTAAGTGACTTGGCTGTGTAAGCACTGTGTTGAGGCATTAGATGGTTGAAAGTGGTCAACAGGAAACTATATAAAAAATATTCATCATTAGGGATAACCTAAGTTAAGGATACTCTTAGTGGTGAAACATAATGGCGTAAATAGATTTACTTAATTTATTAACTGCAGTGTTTTGATAGATATATAAATCAACAATAGAGCAAGCGTCGTTTTTGCCATAAGAAGATACTTTGGTCAAAAAAGCCTAACTTTGTAAGTAAGTCAGGTACAGACACCAAATTTGATTATTTTGAACAAAATAAGCACGCGTGTTTTCATCAAGTATTGAAATGAAACTAGATTCACAGAAAAAGGATTGTGGCATAGTCTGCTCAAAGTGCCATTATAAGTAACGAAGAAAATTCCTCTGTAGTCAGTTCATATAATTAGTGTGAAAACTCACATTTTATAATCCACCGATAATCAGTCAGTTAAAAGACATACGTTAGGAAGTTCATTGTCGAAAGACAAATATAAAACAATAATTTGTTAATGAGTGAATAACTTCAGATTGAGGATTTGTAGAGATTGTAGTGATTTTAGAAGTTGAATTCATGAGTCGACCTATGCTAGACCATCATTGAAAACCTGGAAGCACTGTATGGCCGTTTCATCCTAGTAAAGACTCCTCAAAAGTGCTTATCCACTATCCCGCAGGCGGGACTCGACCGAATTTAGACATCAACATCGTTAAATGCCGTCTCAGTGTTCGTGCGCGAGACCGAACGTTCTGGGTTCGAATTCCGCGTGTGGGATCGTGGATGCGCACTGTTGAGGAGTCCTATACAAAGAAGAGGCGGCACAACCTATTCAGGCGCGTTTATGAAAAGTTTACAACCTTTCGCTATACGGGATACAAAAAGGTACAATCAGCGACATCATGGTTGCTGGCAATATGCATTGAAACAAATGAACAGTAATCAAATGTGGATTACCGAACTTCTAACATCTAACTGGTCATCATTCAAAATTTATCGTCACAATCGACCAAGGTATAAGAAAAGGAAACTTGTTGAAATACTTTATGCTGAGAATTCTATGTTGTACCAAAAATATAATGTTGAATAAAGCTAATAATAATAATAGTAATAATAATAATAATAATAATAATAATAATAATAATAATAATAATGGTGCTCTAGTTTTGTTGACCCATGAATCCATGTATTAAAATTAAATTCTTTGTTTATTTTTTACCGTGTGCCTTATCTATTGACTTTATAACAAATCACATTCATAAACTTTGATTAGGCCTATAGAATTATTAATTTCTGCATAATATTTGTCAGCAATAATGTCATGACTTTTCCAACTTGTTTCACTCGTGATGTAGGCAGAATGT